AGAAGTCACCCTGAGTGGCCCTGCACACAGTCAGCCTAAATGGCTTTTTGTGAAATGAATCTAGGACACTTTCCAAACATCCCCTGAGATGGTGACAATCAGCAAGAGAAAACCCAGGCTACCCTTCTTGTTGAAGTGATGACATTTGTGGTGACATTTAGGACACAGATGGTCATTAGGAAGCAGAACAAGGCTGCTCCTGGGGCAACATCTGGGGACGTGTGAATGAAATCAGTGATGTGAGCCTACATCAGAGACCCAGAGAACTCTGCTTTCTTTGTCTCCCAGCTGCACCCATCCCTGACCCCGCAATGCTGGAGAGGTAAAGCCCTCTGCAAAAGCAGTCAGCACCGACAGACATGCTAACAGAAGTAGGTCCAGGGTCGGACCTTCTACACACACCCCCGGGCTGCAGCTGCGGAGAGGTAGAAATGCGGCCCCTGGGAAAGGAAGCGGATGGCTAATCTTTGTCAGTTTGAAGGGATTAAGAACCTCTGGGTGTGTCTGCAGAAAGCTTTAACTGAAGAGGGCAGCATTGTCCTCCGGACTGAGGGGAGGGAGCCAGCAAGCTGAGTACCAGCATTCATCTCTCTCTGCTTCCTGACTGTGGACACAGTGTAGCCAACCTCTTCCCCTTCCTGATCCCATGATGCCCCACCAGGACAGGCTATTACCCCTACAATATGAGCCCAAATCAAGTTTTCCTTCCTTAAGTTGTGTCTGGGATTTTGTCCCAACAGGAAGAAAAGCAACTAATACAGGAGAGGTCCCCCTTGTAGGTCAGGGCCACCACCTGGGGAGCTGAGGGGCTAGTCCGGAATGCCTGGGTGTCCCAAGTCTAGAGTTGCCTTGATTCGTTAGGCCTTCTGCGTGCCCAGGGTTTGTAAACCTGAATGATTTAACTTCAAAGACCAGGGTGGGGCTCACCGGAATCAAGGATGCTTTGAAGGCGCTGGATGAGAACCCGGGAGGTATAATTACCTAAGCGGCATTCTCCAAAGGGCACGGGGGAGCCAAGCTGCTGCCTACCAGCACCAATGAAAGGGTTTCCAGTGAGGCCTCCTTAAAGGGACAGTGTTCCTCCCTGCAGCCCCAGGGGTGAATCTGTAACATCATCACAACTGCTCTTTGCTGAGCATGGCGTGCCTGGGTGGAAGGCAGTGTACAAAACTGGGATCCCATCCCATCCCACCAGCCTGTGGTGGTGTGCGGGCACACAGCTGTGTGTGACCCTTTCGTTAGAAGAAGAGCCAAGAGGCCGGAGAGATGGCTCAATGTTTAAGAGTCCATTCTGCTCTTCCAGAGGACCTGAGCTTGGTTCTCAGTGTCCTCTCCAGCCTCAGGGAACCTGACACCTCCTTCTGGCCTCCAAGGGCACCTGCATGCACATGTGGTATACACTACCTTTAATACCAGCACTTGGGAGACAGAGGCAAGTGGACTTATGTGAGTTCGAGTTCGAGGCCAGCCTGGTCTACAAAGAGAGTTCCAGGACAGCCAAAGAGGTTATACAGAGAAACTCTGTCTCAAAAAACCAAAAAAAAAAAAAAAAAAAGAGACATTGTCTCAAAAGGAAAGAAAGAAAGAAACAAAGAGTTACACTGTAACTCAGCTCAGTTCCAAGGGATCCAACACCCTGTCTGGCCTCCATAAGCACCTGCATGAACATGTACACATACACCAATGTATACATTAACTTGAAAAAAATTTTTAGAGAGAAAAAGGGTTGGAGGGGATGGCTGTCAATAGTGTCTGTCGCCTGAATGTGAAGACCTGAGTTCCATGGCCAGCACCAAGTCAGGGCTGGCAGCACACACCTATAACACCAGTGCTGGGCAAGTGGAGACTGGCTGGTGTCAGTCTAGCCATCCAGAGAGGTCCGAGTTGAGTGACAGACACAGAAAATAGAGAGCAACAGAGGAAGACACTCAACATCAACTTCTAGCCTCCACGAGTTCATACATCCATGCATGCTAACTGCTTGCATATTTGCATACACACACACACACACACACACACACACACACACACACACACCCGCACACACCTATGCCCACACTCACTTGTTTTGTTTCTTTTGTTTTTAAAGACGATCTGCTTGCAGATAGCAGGAAGTGGAAGAGCCTTCTGGGTTCAGGTCCACATCTGCATAAAATGACCTCAGCCTCCTCAGCTGCCATGGATTGCCTGACTTCTCCCACATGGATTGCACGCACGCGCAAACACACACACACACACACCAATGTCAAGTGAGACTGAACCTCTAGGCCTCTTTTCCACTTGTTTCCCTGCTGGGAACAATGCTTCCCACTCAATGCCGATGAACTTCTCCCATTTCAAGGCCCAGGGCAAGCATCCTTAGGGCATCTCCTCCGGAGGATACACTTTCTCTTCTTCCTTGGGCCCTGCTTGACCTGGGGCCACCCACAGGATTCTCATGCTGTCGATGGAACCCAGGGCCTCATATATTCTGGGCAGCTCTACCACTGAGGCACATCCCAGCCCGCAGCATGTTCCAGTGCGGGATGAACCACTTCCTTACCTGAGTCTTTGCCCTGGACAAGCATGTGCAGGTGGCTACACTAAAGGTTCAGAGACGGGGCTGTGGAGCAGGAACTTGTTTCGTTGCCTTGGTAGACACCAAGAGTATCCACAAAATGGAGACTGAGACACTAGCTATCCTTGCTGGGGTGTCATGGCTCAGCACAGGTGTCCTCTGTGAACTGTATCCATCTACACTGTTTAGTCCCGACAGTTCTTGCAAGTGGACATACATCATTCACCTCACCTTGCACAAGAGGTATCTAAGATGGTGTCCGGGGTCACAGAGTGCGCCACCTGGTTCTCTGGAATCCATCTAGGGGCACCCTGCTCCACCTCCGCCCAGCATACCTCTGACCCACCATTATGTTTGTGGCATGAGTGACAGTGACTCACCAGGTGGCATGGCTGCCCTCAGTCTGAGTAAAACTTCCTGCTGTTTGTTTGGCCTGCATAATTAGCTGTGTGGTGGAGGTGTCCTCTGGCCTCAACTTAATGTCACTTCCCTCCTGGTCAGCCACTGCCCCTTCCCTCGAATGTCCACAGAAGGGGAAGGGACAAGGTTGGGGAGGAGCAGGGTGGCTCGGACAGGGCTGATACTGTTGTAACTTTTTGGGGGTTTAGCTTTTGTGTTTTGGGGAGACAGGGTCTCCTCACCTGCACCTCAGGTTCATACCATGGTGCACCTGTCACCACACACCCTGCTTTGATTAGGGTTGTTGTTTAATAACGTGACTTTCCTATATATAAACACAGCACTTCCAGATAAATTAAGCCAAATTGGGAGGTGGAACAGTAACTCATTAAAATTGATGAGACAGCCACACAATGGCTGATTTCAAGTCACGTTTGAGCTCTGTACTCTGACAACACACCCAGAAACATCCTAAGAACAAGGAAATTTACTTAAATTATTTACTTGATGTATTTTTTTTTTTTTTGAGACAGGGTTTCTCTGTGTAGTTTTGGTGCCAGTCCTGAATCTCACTCTGTAGACCAGGCTGGCCTCGAACTCACAGAGATCCGCCTGGCTCTACCTCCCGAGTGCTGGAATTAAAGGCATGCGCCACTGCCACTGGGCAATATATGTATTCTTAAATATATCTTCAAGGTCTCATTATGAAGCCCTGGCTGGCCTCGAACTCAGAGATCACTTGCCTCTGCCTCCTGAGTGCTGGGATTAAAGACGCCACCATCACCATGGGCTCAGAGGTTGTACTGAATAAGACTCCCAGGTGCTACTTTGAGAACCTTGAGTTCTCAAAGGCCCCTGAATGTACAAGACAACAGGTCACAATGGCCTGTCCACAGCTGCCTCTGAGGCTAATGGCTTCTCTCTGATGTGCTGTCCCTGACAGAAACCCCAAGAGCAAAGAGGTAGACAAAGGACGCCCTACATCACTTTGTCCTTTTCTACTTTATTACTTCAAATTAACAACCACAATAAAGCTCAAAAAAGTCCAATATTTACACAGGAAAAAAGTACAAAATTCCCCCCAAAGTTCTTCAGTAATTTTTTTTTCAGTTTTTTAAATTACAAAGTAATAAAAAGTTTTGCTCTTTAATTAAAAAAAAGAAAGGGAAAAAGAGGTAAATAAATTAGGAAATACACACCGAGGAAACAAACAAAAATAAAATAAAATTAAAAAACCAGGTGTTAACCAGGAAGGGTAAATTCGACACTTAGCCCTGACCCAGGGTCCTACTCAGAAGTCAGGCCCGGGAAGAGGGGTGACCACAGGTGACTGTCGGGACCAGGGAACTAACTGGTAAGTCAGAGCCGACGCCATCTGGGAGCAGACTCCGTGAACTTGTCCTAAGATCAGGTATGGAAGATGGGGTTGCCACACACTGGCATCTGGGAACAGGTGGTGGCAAGGACTCTATGCCCTGAGGGATGCGGAGGTCACTGTCCACCCCACCTTGACTTTAGGGGGATGAGAACAGAAACTTGGCCAGGCAGGCACAGCGGGCCACCTGCTGCTCTGGAAAATACAGGTGTCTCTCACACACACACTCACACACTCGCGCACTCACACACACACACTCACACATGCACACGACATCATGGCCACCACCTCACAGCCCCCTCAAGGTCTCTGCAGAGAGGTGACGGAGGGGGCGGGGGTGAAGGGGGACCAGGATGCTCAGGGGGACTCTGGGAAAGCCCAATACGAAGCTGGCCACTTTCGCTGCCAAGGGGCTGCAGCTGTGTGTGTCTCCTTGGATCCGAGGCTCACGAAATCTCCTGGGACTTGTCTGTGACTGGCCAAACCACTCCCGGATGCGAGCTCTTCGGGCAGCCATTGGAGGTGCCCGGCACGCGGTGGTGGTGGTGGCGGGAACAGGTGGCTGGAGCATGACCAAGTGTGTCATTAGAGGAGTGTTGGCAGCCTTCAGGTTGGGAGCAGTGGACGAGGCAAGGGGACAAGAATCCTCGGTGATAAGGACATCTTGTCTTTTTACCATTGGAAAAATAAATCAAAGAAACAAAATCCATTGTCGACTTTGTGCTGGGTTGTGGTTTTGTTTTTGTTTTTTTCCTTTTTGATCATTTGAGTGGTTGGTTCTTTCTTTCTGTCCTTTGTTTTATTTTGTTTTTAAAGAAAATGCAGTGTAGAAACTAAAAGGAAACAAAGACCACAGGTCAGGGGCCCGGCTGCCTCCGTCTACCCCGACACCAGATCCCCTCTGTGTCTCTCCTGGAGCCCAGAGTCTGGTTTCAGGTCCAGCACACAGTGCTCCACTGTCCCAAGAGGGAGAAGCAACATGCTCCTCTGTCCCGGTGGGCTGAGTGGCCATCCCAGCCACCTCACGGTCTGAACAGACTAGCTGTCTGGGGGAGAATTTCTGCAGAGTTACTCCTGCTGAAGGCCACCTGCTGGGAAGCCAGTCCCTTAAAGGGTGGGCTGCTTGCCGGGGCAGTGGTGGCACAGGCCTTTAATCCCGGCAGAGGCAGAGGTAGGCGGATCTCTGTGAGTTCGAGGCCAGCCTGGGCTACAGAGTGAGTTCTAGGAAAGGTGCAAAGCTACACAGAGAAACCCTGTCTCGGAAAAAAAAAACAACAACCAAAAAACAAAAACAAAACACAACAGGGTGAGCGGCTGCCTGCCGCTACCCCCTTCTCCAGGGAGCCCAGTCAATATGTACCAAAGGAGCCTGTGGCCCCCTCCCCCAAACCAAGCTAATGGGTATTTTACTAGATACTGCCTCCCAAGCCTCAGGCAGTCCAACCCTAACACACCTTGGCCAGAGGGCCTTTCCTGGGTATAAAAGCACCAAGGCCCTTTCTACATTCTGGCCCCCTTTTGGCTTTGCACAAATTAGCTTATGTAACAGCCAGAAGGCAGAATTAGGCCAAAGCCTTGGAAGCCCACGTGTGGCCGGTACCCTGGTCTCTCCAAGGAGCCAAGGGGACAGAAGAAACAGGGCTGAAAACGGGTTCCCTGGAAGTGTTAATGTACAGATTCAGGACGGCTTGTAGGAAGCCACAGCCGGATGGCAGGAAGGGGCGGTCCACGGTGCCACCTACCACTAGTTTCCCTCCCCTTAGGGACCCCAGCAGACACCAGCACTCACCTAAGCAAACACTGGTCCGTGTGGCTCCCCTCATTTCCCGAGGTGGTCAAATGGCACGCTTGTCTTCAAGGGGGCCGGAGAGAGAAGGGGGAAGAATCCAGTCAAGTCCTCAGGCAGCTGGTTACAGTGATTCCCCAAAGCTCTCCCCACCAAGAGCCCCACCCACTACAGCAGAGCACTCAATCTGAAGGCAGGCTGGATGATGATCTCAGGGGTTGGGGGTTGGAAGCTGCCCCTGGCTTTATAGCAAAGCGACAGCTTCAGGCCACACCCAAACTGGAGGCCAAGGATGGTTCAACCCCAGGTCTGGGTCCACAGAGGCTCATCTCCCAAAGGAAGGAGGGGTTAGATCTACCTCCGCCAAGCCCCTTTCCCTCCATTCTGATTCTAAATGCGACCATTAAATGGGGCCACGACACAGGACCTTCCTCCCTCTGGCATCCCTTGCTGTTATCAGTGCTGATGGGAACTCCAGTGGGCTTCCCTATGGCAGGAAGTGCAAGCCACTTGTTCCTGAGGCCCCTGTCGCCTCCCCAGACTGGGTCCTGGTGGTGAGTGCTACCGCTTACTGGGCTGGGTTATTTCTCTGAGCCTCAGTTTCTCAGTTTGCTCAATGAAAGAGGGCTAATTAGCTCCAGGAGGAAAGGGACCACAAAGCCAGACCAACACCAGGAATATCTAGGTCCATTACATCCCAGAGATGCTTGGCAAGAGGTAGCTCACCTGTGAGGCTGAAATCCGGGAGACCTCTTGCCGCCCAGTGAGGTCTGAGGACGAGACGTTGGCAGGCGCACCTCTGTGGAGTCTCATGCTCACCTTCCTCTCCCGGTCGGCCCGTGAGATCGCTCTGGGAGAAGTATTGCCTGGAGGGGAGGGAGGGCAGGGAGCCACCCTCAGTGTGGGCACAAGCAGTCCCCTAACTCCCCTCGGGCCCAGCCCCAGGCCCCAGGCCCCAACTGACCAGCTTGTTGGATGCGAGAGGCTGGGGTGGAAGCCACAGGCTCGGCTGCACTCCGGAGTCGGTTGGCGGTAGTCCCCGTAGGGGGGCCAGGGGGCAGGGCTCTGGTCGCAGACCCTCGCAACTGCCCCATCCTCTCTTCCCGTTCGTGTTCTCGCCGCTCCCGGTCTACATCCTCGGGATTCCGGGCTGCACCCTGTAAGGACACGAGAGAAGATCTGAGTCAGCCCTGTAAGGATGTTGCGTTGCAACCCAGAACCCTAGCAGGGCAGAGGAGTAAGGGGGAGAGGTGTGTGGACAGCTCAGAAAACTAGTTTCACCTTCTTTCCCATACTCCCCAGAAGGCGGGAGCTTACCCTCGACCACAGCACCCAGGGACCAAGCCACCCAACACCTAGAAGAGGGAACTGCAGAGGAGAAGCAGAGAGCTCAGCCTGACCAGGCTGGTATCTACAGGACAACCAAGGGTACCTCTTGGTCCTTCCAACTTGGCCCCCTCTGTGTTCCCAATCAAGCAGGAAGGGCATTCAGAGGCCCAACTAGATGACAGACAGGCCATAGCAAGAGAAGAAAGGGCAGATTTGGAGTCAGAACTCCAATGAGAGCAGAGCCAGGGCTCTCCCAAGGTCCCCTGGTGCCCAATCACAGGCCACCTTTCCCTGGCTCCCGGACCTGGCCATTACTCCTACTATGAGGTGACAGCCAGGAGACCAAGGGGACCCCATTAATGCTGTTGCCTGAAAGCCTGGGGAGTAAAAGCCAGGCTAGATGTTCCATGAAGCAAGGAGGCCCTCGGGCAAAGCTAGAGAAGGTGCCTTGAGCCCCCGAGGGCCGGTCCTCTAAGCTGCCACCCCAAGAGAAGGGAGAAAGGACCAGAAAGGGATGCAGAGCGGAAGCAGCGCCTGGCTGAGTTACCTAGCTGGTCCTGAGGCCGTCCACAGGGAAGGGCAGGGGGCTGGCAGAAGGGGGGCCGCATCTGTGAAGGAGAGAGCTATAGGCTGAGACAGGAGCCTGTTCATGGGCCATGGGGGCTGGGCTCTGCAAACTCATGACTTTACTGGTACTAAGAAGCCCTGATGCTCTGGGAAATGGGGAGGGAGCTGTCTTCAGGGACCCCTGGAGGGAGTGGCTTGATTCAGAGGATCCCCTGAGTCCTATTGGGGCAGCCAAGCCAGGCAGGCACATTGCTGGCACTCTTACTCCTTGTCTGGGTCCCCCTCTCAAGTGGAAGTACTGATATCTTTGGTCCTTACTTGGCCTGGTCGGAGGAGGCCTTGTGTCCTGGCTGAAGTTATTCAGTCAGGAAAGCTAGGGCTGACCACGGTCCTGCCACCGAGTCCCATTCTGTCCCTCAAAAGGACACTGTTCAGAGACCTGCCTTGGACACTGCTAGTCCTCCACTCAGAAACCAGGGCTTAGGACTGCCAGAGTGCCACCCATTGACCAGCTGGCTGCCTGGTTCCCAACCTGAGAGTAACAAGGGCTGCTGCACTCAACAGTCCCTCCTGTGGCAGCAATTTCAGTCTCTTGTCAAAAGAGAAACTGAGGCTTGGTGAGGCTAAGGGCTTCACCCAGGGGTGCAGGGCCCTGCTATCAATAGCCAAGAGGATGGCTGGGGTCTCAGCAGCTCCATTAGGCTCAGGCCAGACCTGGCCCCTCACCCTGTTTCCATCTACTCAACATGATGGACGCATCCAGAAATGCACACCAGAGAGTTTTCATGGCCTTTATTTGCCCACAAGGAAACACAAGGTGTCAAAGTCACACAAGTGTCTGGCTCTACTGTGTGGATCCTCTGTCCTTGGCTGTGTGGCGTCTCCTCCTGGCTAGAACAGTGGCTGTGTTCTCAGAGACATCCCAGGATTCCAGCATCTGGGGACTCCAGTCCCCTGGGGTGGAACATGGAAGGTCATTCCAAGGTCAAGTGGATCTTCCCGTCTGGTGGTGGCTTGCTTATTGTAGGGCAGGTGGGGAGGCCTGGTCTTGGGGTGACGGCTGTGAAAGTTTCTCATGTGTCCTGTAGATGTTCTTGGTAACAGAGCTGGCCACGTGGTGACAGGGTCCCACACGGTGGAGGCAGGGGCTGTCCAGCTTTGAACTCCAGAGTCTACCTCCAAGAAGGCTCCAGGGAGGGCGTCAGGCAGTGGGGCAGGGAGGGTGCCTCTGGCCAAGTACGAAATGTTGTCAGCTGGCCAGTCACACAAGGGGCACTGTGAGGGAAGCCTCTACAGCAGCTGTCCGTAGAACCTCCCGGAATAACAAATGCTCACATTTGCCATGCTGGAGGTAGCAGCCACTGTGGCCTTCTGAGTGCAGTCCGGTGAATGACTGAGGAGGAGCCAGCATCCATCTCCAACAGTTTAGTGAATGACAAAGTCAGCACTACGTGGCCAGAGGCTATTAGAGTGGGCTGCCCTGATCTCGAGAACATAAGATCCGTTCTTCGGGTTTTACTGAGAGGGTTGAGCCCATCCCCAAACTGGATTCAGCTAATTTTCTGGAGCACACGTCTGGTGCCCAATGCTTTGAACACCCTGTGATAAGAAGAGCCAGCCCCATGACTAGACCCTTGACCAACATGCTCTGAGGTGGAAGGAGCCCACTGCCCACTTTTCGCTCCAGCCTCAGAGAGAAAAGCCACAGAGGTTTGTCCCCAAGGTCCCTGGCCTGTGAAGCTTCCTCAGAGAACAGACCCAGGCCACTGACTGGGGCCCAGAGAGAAGAGGAGCCCCAAAATTAATGTGTCTATCTTGGCGTCCAGAAGACAAGGCCTATGTTCATTCTTAACACTGAATGGAGCGGGCCAAGGGCCACTCTGGGAAGAGAGAGGCACACGAGGACGAAGGGAAGAGAAGTGTTTAATGAGCTCAGAATCAATACACAGGCCAACGACGAGGTCTAGATGGAGCAGGGTCCTGTGATGCGCCACCAAGCCCTCCCAGACAGCGTCACTATCCCTTCTTCAGGCTTCTTCTAGTCCTCAGGCGGCTGGTTCGTTCTTGAGAATCCCACGCAGGGCCTTTGCTGTCACACCCTCTCCACCAAACAGGGTGTCTGTCACCCCTGCCACCCCACAGGATGCTTCCTCAAGCTTGGCTGAGAGGGGCGGAGATAACCCTGGTGTCAGAACTGGGGCCCTGGAGTCCAGACCACAGGCCAGTATCTTTGGGGGGGCAGTTGCTCCACCTCCTCCACCGGCCTATCCGGGGGTCCTTGGGTGCCCAGGGGCGCCGGGCACCTGGAAAGCACAGAGAGAGCGCACAGCTGAGGCTCAGCCCTCGTGCTCCCTGGCTAAGCTGCAAATGTTGGAAAAGCCAGGCCTCGGAGGGTCCTTACCAGTAAGTGGGTGAGTGCGTGGGCCCAGCGCAAGGCCAAGGGTGGGGGCGGGGTGACGCAAGAGCTTCGTTGTTTCGGGGCTGAGCCTGGCTCGAGGAAGCCCCCTTTTCCAGAAGAGACGTGAAACAAGACATACAATTTCACGGATTCCAGCGCTTGAGGCATGACTGGTGAACGCTTCTCCCTAACCCACCCCCAGGACCCTTAAAAGAGGGAGACAGAACTGCCTAGTAAGACCCAGGGTCCTATAACCAGAAACAAAGAAGCCACTCTGGCAGGGTCCAGGCTGGCCGTGGAGGCCTCAGAAAGGGCCACCACCTGGGATATGCACAAGAGGAGCAGGGAAGCACAAACAGCTATCAGAGCGGCAGTGGGTCCAGCCGGCGCCATCCACGAACCGCACCCACCCAAAAGGGACCGGAGGCCAGGCCAGGCCCTTTTCCACCTGGTAGGTGGCCGTGCCTTCCTTGGGCCCTGTCCCCCAGGATGGCCCGCAAGGTCACTCACACTGTTCAGCTCATACCTCCCAGTTAGTGGGAGCCCCGCCTCCCACCAGGTCACCCTGGCCCTCCGAGTCAGCGCCTGCCCTGCCCAGTCCCCCAAGCCCGCCTTGGCCTGCCGGCGACTCACGAATTTGAGCATGTTCCAGTCGAAGACGTAGTCGTAGGAGAAGCCCTGCCGGTGGAAGAGGTTGCGGAAGAGCTGGCGCAGGTACGAGTAGTCGGGCTTGTCGTCGAACCGCAGGGAGCGGCAGAAGTTGAGGTATGTCGAGAACTCGGCTGGCGGGTCACAAGGACAGAAGGGGCCACCGTGAGGCTCACTCTCCTGAGAGCCTCAGCAGCCGCCACCACTGTCCCCGCCACAGTACCAATCTGAGAGGGGCAGGATGGAAACTACACGGCCCACTTCCAAGGAGAGATGCTGCGGAGCCGGGCTCACAGCTTGCCACCTGTCTGACCAAGCACCCCGAGGTCACGGCCACCAGGTCAACAGCTGCCCTAAACTCAAAGGCTGTTCAAGAGCCTGCTGGGGTGCAGAGTCCCATCATGACCTAAGCCCAGCTTCTACTTCTTCAAACCATCCGGGCTGAGAGTGAGCCTTCAGGATAAGGCAAGAGACGGGGCTGGGGACACCTGGTATGTGACAGCCAGGTGTGGGGGTTCAGGAATCCCAGCTAGCTCCTAGGCAGAGAGATCCTAGTGACTGTCCTAAGCATTCTGGTGTCAAGGTCAGGGGTAACCCCATGGGTGGCGTCCCCCCCCAACCCCCCGGATCTTGCCCTTAGAAGGAAATGCCATGCCTGCTGGCTACTCACAGGGGTAGCCTTTGCAGAGGACCTCAATGGGCGTTGACATCTTCTTCTCACTGATACGCTCATACTTCTGACGCTTGGTGGCTGCTTTGAGACCCTGCCAGGGCAGGGAGCCCAGGTTGAAGTACATGAGCACGTAGCCCAAGCTCTCCAGGTCATCTCGACGGCTTTGCTCTGCACAGGTCAGGAGGTCAGGGGCCACAGGTCAGGAGGTCAAAGTCCAGTCAGGCTGCACTCCCTCACTGTGCACCCCGCCCTCTCCTGCCTCGGTGCCTGTTGGCTCCCGAACACTATAACTGGTGCCCCATTCTCTTCCTCTTCTAGACGGCCTGGGGCAGAGCTTTCTCATGTCTGTTCCAGCCAGTTTTTCCAGCCCAGGTGCTATGTCACTCAACAACTGTGTGTGGGCACCCACCACCCCCTCACCCAGCCCGTCTTGTGCTTAAAGCTCACACTAGAGCTTGAGACAGGACTGGGGTCAAATCCAGCTCCCTCCGGAATTCATTACGCTACATGCCCTTAAACGGCATGTTAAAACCTCCGGGCTCGCATGTCTCAGAGGTATGAATGAGGAAACCCTGCCACCCCACAAGTGGACTGCCAAGGTAGACAAATACACACAGCTCTGCTTATGAAGGGGTCCGTGTGGAACAAGTCCAGACCTGGGCCAGATAGGATGGGGGATCTCGGTAAGGCTCACCAGAAAAAAACCTCTGGGGTCGCCGACCCAGGCTCATCCTGGCCAGCAGCCACAGCATGCCTGCTCAGGCCCAGCCCACTCACCGATGCCCAGGTGGGTGTTGATGGAGGCATAGCGGGCAGTACCAGTCAGGTTCTTGTTTTCCCGGTAGGGGATATGCTGGTGGGTGCGGGCATCGCGGTACTTCTTGGCCAGGCCGAAGTCAATGATGTAGACCAGGTTGCCTTTCTTCCCCAGGCCCATGAGAAAGTTATCAGGCTTCACATCCCGGTGGATGAAGTTCTTGGAGTGGATATACTCGATGCGGCTGATCTGGGGGAGGCGAGGAGACAGCCGGTCACTCCACAGAGGGAGGGCAAATGTACGCGAGGCCCCTCGCTCTGGCCAGGGGGAAGAAGATCTAGCCTCGGTATAAAGCGTGGTTTCAGGGGGCGGCCAGGCTTTCCCGAGCAAGGAGGACGGACGTTGAAGGAGCTCACAAAACACGGTGAGAGACAAGAAGAGGAAGGCCAAGATCTAGGGGAAGGCAGGCAGAAAGGCGGCCGCGTCCTCTGGAACCCTGCCTGGCTCGACCCTCCCAGGGCCAGAGACAGTCAACCACACGTGGGGCGTGGTCAGAGAAACGGAGCACAAGACAGGACTCATCACTATCACTCGGCTTCCAAACGCCACCAACAGTCCGACAGACACACAGCCCACTTCCCTTTATGAGGTTTTTATTAGTGAGTGATCAGTACAAGTTCAAGTGAGATGTCCAGAGCGAAACCCTTTCTGAGACAGAGAATTTGTCTGTTTGTTTTTCCAAGACAGGGTTTCTCTATGTAGCCCTGGCTGTCCTGGAACTCCCTATGAGGACCAGGCTGGCCCCAAACTCAGAGATCCACCTGCCTCTGCCTCCTGAGTGTTGGGATTAAAGGCGTGTGCCACCACCGCCCGGTAACACAGAGGATTTTTAAGAGCTCAAATTAATATGCATGCATGTGACATGGCTTCTGGAAGGTTGGCCTCGTCTCGGCATGGCTGAGTACCTCGAGGATATTTCTGGGTTTTACTCTGTGAGAATTTGCCCATTCTTCTCTGTGTGCATGCAGGTGTACTAAAAATGCACAGTGGCTGTAGACCAAGACCTAAAGCCTGCAACAAGACCTGCACCTTCCATGGGAGGTGCAAATTTCTAAGATTTCTTACTTATTTGTGTTTATGTCTGCCTGTGGGTATGGGTGCCATGACATGGGTGTGAAGTAAGAGAACACCGAGGGTAGTTCTCACTACCACGTCCCAGGGAATCAAACGCAGGCCTTCAGGCTTGGCCGAAAGCATCTTTACCTCTGAGCCATCTTGTCGGCCCCAAGGCTAATAAGTTAATATAGTTATTTATATATGTGTGTACAGGCTTACATGTAAGTGTGGGTTTTAGTGATTTTTGTTTGTTTTTTGAGACAGGGTTTCTCTGTGTAATAAGCCCTGACTGTCCTGGAACTCACTCTGTAGACCAGGCTGGCCTTGAACTTACAGAGATCTGCCTGGCCTCTACCTCCCCAGTGCTCGGTAGAACCTCAGATGGTGGTCCTGAGTTCTGCAATAAAGCAGGCTGAGGAACAAACCAGTAAGCAGCACTCCTCCACAGTCTCTGCACTAGCTCCTGCCTCCAGGTTCCTGCCTGGTTTAAGTTCCTGTCCTGACTTCCTGCAGTGGACTGACTCGGGATACTAAGCCAAATAAACCCTTTCCTCCCCAGCTTTTTTTTTTTTTTTTAATTATTTTTTTAAATCATCATAGCAATAGTAACCCTAACTAAGGTAGGGATGGAGCTACCAAAAAGGGGGCGTGGCCTGTTTTACCTTTAGACAAGGCTTTCCTCTGTGGATCACCAAGGGCTGCAGGACCCGACACCTGCTCTGGCCCCCTGCTCCCCCACCCCACCCCACCCTGGCATTGCACAGCACCCCACTTAATCCCCATGACAACCTGGCAAAGGGAAAACAAGGTGACTGAAGCCCCAGGAATTAGTCATCGGCCTCAGGTCAGGCACTGGGACAGAGCCTGACAGTTGTGCAGGCAGCAGCCCGAGGCTTAGCAGGAGGTGACTCAGAAGGTAGGGTGGTTAGGTAGGGTGGTTGAAATAGAAATGTCTCCCCGCCACCATACCTGCCTTCCCCACCACCGGACTCCCTCTCTGGAACCTTACGCCCAAATCAGTTCTTTCCTCCAGAAGTTGCTCTTGGTCACATGTTTTTGTTTGTTTTGCTTTGTTTTTGTTTTTCGAGACAGGGCTTCTCTGGGTAGCCCTGACTGTCCTGGAACTTGTTCTGTAGACCCGGCTGGCCTTGAACTCAGAGATCACCTGCCTCTATCTCCTGAGGGTTGGGACCGAAGGTGTGCACCATTGCTGCCCCCTGGATTGGTCACATGTTTTTTATCATAGTAACAGAGAAGTAATGAATACATCGGGTTTGGAGCTGAGCCTGGAATCAACATGTCAATGAGGCACTCTCCAGGTTCCACAATGGGCTAGAACAGGTCCAGCCTCAGGAGGTGGGGCCCAGGGCTGGTCTGTAGGACCCACTGATACAATGGCTGAGAGCAGCGGGCTAGAGGTGGGGGGAGTCCCCTGAGAGACACCTGAGGGGAGGGGTGGGGACTCACCATCTGGTCGGCCAGCAGCAGCACCGTCTTGAGGCTGAACTTTCGGGAACAGAAGTTGAAAAGGTCCTCGAGGCTGGGCCCCAGCAGCTCCATGACCATCACATTGTAGTCTCCCTCAGCCCCGCACCACTTGATGGACGGGATCCCCACTGGGCCCAAGGAAGAGAGGCTTGGTCAGGGTCACTCCCCCCATGTCCTCTGCAGTGTCTTCTCCCGCCCCCTCTTCTGTATCCTCCCTCTGCTCCCTCCCTAACCCAGCCTCCTTCCCTCCTCTCCTTCTGCACCTCCCCCCAGCCCCAGCCCCACCCCTGCCTCACCTCCTCCCTGCATCATCTTGTAGAACTTGCTCTCAATGTGGAGCTGTGGGTGCTTCGTTTTCACACATTCCAGCTTGATGGCTACTTCCTCACCAGAGGCAATGTTGGCACCTGCCAGTGTCAGAGGAGGCAAAGGACCAGGGTGAATCTCAAGTGACCATGTGGTCCTTACCCATGCAGCATTTGCGGCTGCTGTGACTCAGGCCTGAGGCTGTCTGGGCATCAGCAGCACCCGGTGAGGCTGGAAAGAAGCCAGGTCACAGAGGAACCAGGGAATGTGTGGGAGGGGGACCCCTGAGCAGCATATGGGAAGTATATGGACGGGAAGGATTTGGCACACCCTAGGCTGCTTAGGGGCCACAGGTCAGGAGCATCCAGACAGACAGACACCTGTGGGGGGGGGGGGCAGGGGATGGACAATGACAGACACAAAGGCTTGCAAATCACCAGGGAACAGAACTTGACTCTAGAGATAGGTAGGTCATCGGGTGTGTTTGGTCTGAAGGGTCACGGAGAGTCCAGTGGGGACTGTTGGGGCCAGGGATGGCCCACAACAACTCCGAGTAGAAGGTAGTTCAATAAAGAACGAGCCTAAACAACCAACCCCTCACTCTCCATCAGAGGCGGTCCCCACACTGGACCCCAGCACCTTCTCTGATCAGATTCTCAACCCCACTATAGAGACAAGAAAAGAGGTTCGGCCAGGCCACGTGGCTGGGTGGGGAAACGGAGGGCGAGCCCAGTCCTCCTCACTTCTGGGTCTAGGCACAGGGTCCTGTCTGTATCACTGCCCCCCACACACACCCTCTCCCGGCTTCTCCAAGCTCGCAGCAAGATGTTCCCTCTAGGGAATTATACATACACTCCAAGGCCTAGCTCTCGGCCACAAGCTGTGACTCAAGAAGTCACAAGATAACCTGGGCATGGTGGCTCACACCGGTAACCCCAACGCGCAGGATGCCGAAGCAAGAGAACTTCCTGAGTTCAAAGTCAGCTTGGTTTACACATGGGTTTCAGGCCAGCCTGGGCTATAAATAATTTCTAGCCTGGGCTACAGAGTGAGGCCATGTTTGGAAGGGAGGGAAGGAGAGGATGAATCAAAAGTGGATCCTTGTAAAAGTTGAGAGAACGGCCGGGCGGTGGTGGTGTACGCCTTTAATCCCAGCACTTGGGAGGCAGAGGCAGGCGGATCTCTGTGAGTTCGAGGCCAGCCTGGGCTACAGAGTGAGTTCCAGGAAAGGCGCCAAAGCTACACAGAGAAACCCTGTCTCGAAAAACCAAAAAAAAAAAAAAAAAAAAAAAAGTTGAGAGAACTGTGGTCACTAGGGGCCGTGTGGAGGAGAAGACGGGGTGGGAAGGGAGGGGTTCAAGGCAAAGTGGAGGCCGGAAGCAGATCTGCAGCTGCAGCAGGCTGGGAGAGGCAGCGGCTGCTCTTGGGAATGATGCGAATGTGGGACTTAGCCGGGGGCAACAGCGCAGTGAGGGTCACCCAACTGCACACTTGCTGGTTTTGATCTCACCAGGTATGTAACCCAGTCTGGTCCCGAACTTGTGATCCTCCTACCTCAGATGGAGATAACTGACTTCCACACATATGCCACGGTACACATGTGCCCACACACATGCACACGAAACAAATTAAAATGCAAAGCAAAACAGTAACAACAGCAACAAAAACCAAACACCTATATTAAAATTTTCTCAAAAAGAGAGAGAGGGCCGGGCGGTGGTGGCACATGCCTTTAATCCCAGCGCTCGGGAGGCAGAGCCGGGAGGATCTCTGAGTTCGAGGCCAGGCTGGTCTACAGAGCGAGATCCAGGACAGGCACCAAAACAACACAGAGAAACCCTGTCTCAGAGAGAGAGAGTGAGAGAGAGAGAGATGGGGGGAGGTGTGCTCAAAGAGATGGCAAGATGGCTCAAGAGATAAAGGTGATTGCTGCCAAGCCTGATGATCTGAGTTCAATCCCCAGAGCCTACACAGAAGGAAAGAACTACTTCAAAAAGCTGTCCTCTGACCTCCATGCACACAAGCTTACACACACACAAATAAAGATAAGGAGGGAAAACGTCAAAGATTCCCTCTCCTTTGAAAACATTCAGCATCCTTTCACACTGGCCAAAGCACCAGGAATAAGGCTGCAATAAAAACACACAATTCTTATCACAGGCAAACAGCTGATGGGCAGGAAAGAGCCAAGGGGAAACGGGATGGGGGATGTGAACTGTCAGTGCCCACGGGGAGAGTGCGGCCTCTGGACAGCCAGGACAGCCACAGTCCCACGATGCTTACACTTCTCACGGGCCACCGGGCTCGCCTCCCTACACAGCTGGAAGATGACTTTCCACGGTCCAGCTGCAACCAGCACTTCTACTTTAGGAGGTTGGCTGACAGTCCCTCAATTTAAAGATTTTGATTTCTGCCAGGTGTGGTGGTGTACACCTTCAACCCAGTACTCTCTGAGGCAGAGGCAGGAGAATCTCTGTGAGTTGAAGCCAGCCTGGTGTACATCATAGGTTCCAAGCCAGTCAAAGCTACATAGGGAGACCTTGTCTCAAAAAACAAAAAATTGTTTTAAATTATACCTATCTGTGTTTGGAGGGGAGTAGTATATGAACTTAAGTACAGCTGCCCGCAGAGGCCAGAGCATCATCACATTAGATTTCCCTAAAGCTGGAATCGCATGTGGTTATGAGCCACCTAGCGTGGGTGCTGGGAACCGAGAGCCAAACTCAGGTACTCTGCAAGAACAGTATAAACTCTTACTTTTTCTTTTATTTCCGTATTTATTTATTTATTTATTTATTTATTTATTTATTTATTTGCTTTTCTTTTTTTCCCAGACAAGGTTTCTCCATGTAGCCCTGGCTGTCCTGGAACTCGCTCTGTAGACCAGACTGACCTCCAAAACAGAGATCCGCCTGCCTCTGCCTCTTGAGTGCTGGGCTTAGAGGCATCCCCGTTACTTTTTCTTTTTAAAGGCAGGGCCTTACTATGTAGCCTGGCTGGCCTGGAACTCAGAGAGTCACCTACCTCTGCCTCCCCAGTGCCCGTCCTGTGAGCACACAACCACAGAGCCATCTCTCCAGTCCCATCAACCAGCATCCCTGTATGCTGTACAAAGAGCCTGGCCAAGGCTGTCCACTGTCGAGTGCTTGCTATACCCCAAAGGCTTGGAACCCACCCACGTGTCCGTCTCTCAGGACTGGCTAAATAAAGAACAGCTGATCCGCAACAGAACCCAATGGTGAGAGGAGGGAGCTCACTCCATGAACAGGGCAAGGTCTCCAAGACACGGGAAGCGAAAAAGCAAAGCACAGACCACGTACTCCGCGCTCTTTCAGACAGGGAAGCGTCTGTGCTGGGTTGCAGTCACGTGAAGAAACAAGACTGGCTGATGGGGTGGGGGGTGGGGGCACTTCATGGACACCTTATTATGTCACTTCTTACTTGTGTACTTCTGCTGAAATGTAATAGGTAAACTGTGAGACACAGTCACGGGCATTGTGAAACTATCTAGATGTCCACAGGGTTGTACAACCCAGTGCACAGTCAATCTGAGAAAACGTCCAACAGAGCCTCAAATGCCCATGCCCTTTAGTAACTGTGACCCCAACTTCCTTCCCAGAGCCCCTAGTGACCACTTAACTCCCTTTTGCTTATAGATTTGCCTATTCTGGGCATTTCAATGAAATGAAAGTACCCATTATGTGGTCTTCTGTTTCCTTTCCCTTAACACGTTATTCCAATTTTTGCATACGTACTTTGATTTCTGAGCTACATAAAAGAAAAACAGATTAGATGACTAAATCCAGGGAGCAGCTGGAGACTGGCTTGCAAACTACTTTAAAAAATTTGAAGTTGTTATTATTATAATTATATCATTACTATTATTATTATTTGTGTGTGTGTGTGTGTGTTGCATGCACTTATGTTGACATCTATGTGGAAGCCAAAGGTTGGTGTTGGGGGTTTTCCTCAATCACTCTCCACCTTATTTTTTAAGACAGGGGCTGGAGAGATGGCTCGGCAGTTAAGAGCACTGGCTGCTCTTCCAGAGGACCCTGGTTTTGGTTCCCAGCACCCACATGGCAGCTCACAATCATTAGTAACTCCAGTTCCAGGGCATCTGATGCCCCCTCTGGCCTCCACAAGCATTACACCGGAGTGCACAGGCACACAAAATAAAAATAAGTAACTCTTTTGAGAAGGGTCTCTCCTCACTGAACTTGGAGCTTGTCAATCACTTAGAATGGCTGATCAGCAAGTCCCAGGGACCCCCTCTCTGCCCCTGCATCCCCAGTGCTGGGATGAAAGACACGTGCCACCACCACCTGGAGTCCTGTGGTGTACCTTGTCTTGCCATGGGCATCAAAAGCAGTAGAATGGAGCGGCTGGGAGTGAGTGTGGTGGAGCACACTCGCAATCCCAGCACTTGGGAGGCTGCGACTGGAGGGTGGGGAGTTTGAAGCCAGTCTGGACTTCATACCAAGAGCCTGGCTGCCATGGAGCCACGCTGCTGGACCCTAGGTCCTGAGTCCTTTACTGGCTGACCAGGGGACCTCATTATCACCGTCGTCCTCATCATCATTGGCGCATGTGCATGCACCATGTATACGGCTATGTGGAAGCCAGAGGTTGGTGTGGGATGTTTTCCTCGAACACTCTCCACTCCATTTTCTACGACAGAGGGGCTGGAGAGATGGCTCGGATCTCCTACTTCTGAGCCCAGGTGCCCCTCCTGCAAACTGCTAGCCAAACTTAGCTTGCCGGCTGTCTAGGACACAGAGGAGCTCAGCAGAGCCCCAGGGCACCACCCCCCCCCTCCCCGCCGCTCTGTGTCGTAATAACCACAAATGTCTTCAGAATCTGCCAAGTGCCCTCCAAGAGACAAAAGTCACCTCTCACTAAGAATCACCAGTGTATAAACAAGGGACGGAGGGGACTTGAGGAGGGAAGGGAGGTCTCGGAGGTCACAGCAGGGTGGCCATGCCCTGGCAGAGGGCAGAGATGATCCCTACAAGCACTGGTGACTCAGCAGATCCGCGGGGAGCAGAGGCAGGGGCTCTTCATCCCTTTGAACTCTGACACCGCCCTGCAGGGCTATGGTGTCTCTATCAGACACAGGGAAAACTCAACAAAGGTTGAATGACCATCTGCCACACAACTTCCCAGGCCACGGACCTGGGACCTAAGCTGTTAGGCAAAGCCTTCTGACCTCCCCCTCTCCACACACACACACACACACACACACACACACACACACACACACACGGCTCCCTCCCCCACTGCCAGGCCTCCTGACCCCCACACACGGGCCACGGTTCCCTCCCCCACAGCCAGGCCTTTGGCAGTCTGATTCCCACCAGGAGGCGGCCTGTCTTTTCTCTGACTTCCCTTAATCCTGCCAACCACTGAGCTATGGTTCAGAGAGGCTAAGTGACTGGCCTAGGCCAGACAGAACTGGCTGGAGCAGAGCCAGGATTTCCCATTTCTTCCAGAGCCTCTGCCACGCCAGTTCCCAAGCACACCGGTTCATCTCAGTGGCTGCTGATAGCATCGAGCCGGCCAGGCTGTCCTGAAGCTCTGCTCACCGTCTGTGGGAGTGCTGTAAGAAGCGGTCAGAGCAACCACCGAGGCAAGATGGCTGGCATGGGAGCCTCCCCGAGGGGCTACATATGGGAAGGCTTGGAAGCCCGAAGAAACGACCTGCTTCCTGGCCCACAGTTCCACACAGCACCGACCAAAATGGAGGAACTGACTGGTCCCCCAAACAATCTTGGACATAGAGAAGGTGTGAGCCTGGTTGGCTCCAGATGGACTAGAAACCTAGAAAGAAACCACAGGGAGTGGTGAGCAGCCCCTTTAGCTCACTACGGCCACCTACACAGACACAGAGACTGGGGGAGGGATGTGCAGAGCCCACCCACCCTAGAACCGGCAGAAGCAGCAACTTGAACTCCCATGTCAAAAGGCTAGATGCTGGACATGGCGGTACACATGTTCAATTCCCCCTACAGGGAGGCAGAGGCAGTCGGATCTCTGGATTCAAGGCCAGCCAGCCAGGACCTCACAGTGAGACCCTGTCTCACACAAAAAGACCATCCCCATAACCACCTACTCCATACCCCTTGCAGAGTTGAGGCACAGGGGTCCTCCCCACCTTTCCACAAATCTAGAGAGTCCCCCAGAATGCACAGCTAACCTTACACCCTAAAGGGAGGGTGTTAATATTCTGACTTGCACCTTGGGGCTGCCCTGCGTCCTCTCTCCATTCCCAGGAGGTGTGCACCCTCGACCCCCCCTTCTTCCTCTCTCTGTCCTCCTCTTTCCCTGTCTTTCTCCTCACCTCTCTATTATAATAAACTCATTTCCACGCAGATGCAGCGCCTGGGCTGTGAATGACGTGCCGCTGCCCGCCGCCACATCTGCCCAGCGTGTTTTCCCTCACACGTGGGACACCCTGGCCAGCTGGGGTCCCCCTGCACTCAATATCACAACAGAGGGGACTATGGATGGACATGAAGGAGGGCCGAGGGCCTCACAATCACTCCACAATGCTCTCGTCCCAAGACTTCCTCGAGGTCAATCCTGGAAAGCTAGATGTGGAAGCCTAGCCTGGCCCCACCTGTACAGGCCATCTGGAGTCAGGCCCTGGCCCAACACCATGAGGAGAATGTGGCCAGCACTCTGAACAAAGGGTGCCAGCAAAGCCAGTCAAAGAGGTCCCTCAACCACCACTGTTCCCACAGAGGCGAGACAGGAGTCTAGGATGGCGCTGACGTGAGGTGCTCACCACCAACATCCCAACATAGGTGCACCCAGCTGGACAGAGGGAGAACTCCCCTCCTCTGAGGCCCCCAGAGGACTGAGATCCTTAGAAGGCATCGGCTCCCCAACAGAGCCGAAGTTGGGTGCAATCTAAAGGTGCCAGCACAGGCAAGGGGTTCACACAACACGGCCCGACTACTTATCTCACAACTCCATCTCAGATGGGGAAGCCGAGGCTGGCAGGGAACCAGAGTTTACAGCAGGCAAAAGGAAAGACCAGGGTCAATTCACTCCACAGCAGACACGGACAGGGGTAAATCTGTTCCTGGCAGTTAGTGTAACAGAGGCGACACCACAGATAAACAGGAAGCTCTGCACCCAGGGAGGTAGACCACAGGAAGCAGGGACACTGGCCTTTCTGAGTGACCTTGGGCTGCACCTCTCCGTCCACAAGCTTCCATGTCCCTTCTGCAGAAGAGGGGTCAGGAGAGTGCATTGTCTCAGCGGGTCCCTGACTGTGCATCAGGAGCTGCACACACGCACATGCACATACACACACGCACGCGCACACATATACAAGTACGCACGCACGCACCCACGCCAGGCTCAGAGAAAGGGATAGTTCTGGTCACACAGTAAATGAGGATCACTAAAAACAGGAACCAGGCCCGCCCAGTTCCCAGTCCCTATCTCCTGGCCTCCCACAGCAAGGCTTTTACAGGCTACAGCCCCATTTCCTTGCCCTCTGAGTCTCTCAAGCCTTTACTGGATATCCACTGTGGATAGGCCACATTCTGGGCACTGGGGTGTGTGTGTGTGTGTGTGTGTGTGTGTGTGTGTGTGTGTGGGAGCAGACGCAAGCTCACACCTGCTTCTCCTAAAAGGAATGAGAAGACCCAGAAACATCTTCTTCTTTGAGCAGAGTTATCTCACTACTTTGCTATGGCTTCGCCATTATCTCCTGGGTTCCAGCAACCTTCCTGCCTCGGCCTCCAGAGTAGTGGGCACACACCACCACACCTCCAGAGAGAAACATCAATCTGTTTACAGGACATAGTGAGCTACTTGATGCTAGGTAGGAAACTGTACTTCATGGTTGGTTTACTGGTGTTCGCCAACAGCACCTGATCATCTGGGGACAGAGACGAGGGACGTTGAGGTCCCGGGGCAGCTGCACAAGATGAGGTCTAGGATCCAGGTATGTCCGTCTCCCGATCTTCTACCCTTGCACGCAGTGGAGCTGTGGGGTCAAGGCCACCCCAGCTAGTTTTCTGGAGCAATCCCCAGCAGTCACCTTAGTCGTGCTGCATCTTCTGCCACCAGAGGTTCTGGGGCTAACTTGAGGGTGACAGTGTTCAGAAAAGGACCTGCAGGTAGGAGCCAGGAAGGCCTGTGCAGCCCCTGCCCATCCTTATTGAATGGAAGGATGCATACTCAAGGGCCAGGGACTCTGAGCACTAGGGAAGAGGAACCCTAGAATGAACTAATTAATGACTACAGTATCCTGCCTTGCCCATTCTCCCGGCCCAGGACAGAAGTGATTTTCATTCTCTAAGGAGGAAAACAAGAGGCCGCTGGGTCCTACTCCTGAGGGCACAGGAACAGCACCAAGGGTGACCTAAGGAGGCTTGCCAATCACTCTAGCAACTCCAAGACTCCCAACTCCACCTACACAGTTACCAAGCAAACTCCCCTCCAGGCCAACAAGACTCAAAATGGCACAGGGCAGGGCTAGGAAAGCCAACACGACGGGACGAGGGATGGAGGGTTCGTTTTCCCCCCTCACTAGAGGCTGAGATGCCAGCAATCTCCTTAAAAAGACATCAGGGCAAACTCAGATTTCCAAAAGGAAACACATCCAGAAGACCTTCCTTGTGTCATCCCAAAGCAGGCCCAGGCTGCATTCCAGAAAGCCACATCTAAGCAGGAGGGGCCTGTACTTCCTGGGGAGCCTCCCCAGGGGTCCACGATACCAGTATCATCCTGCCAAGACCCAAGGGGTGGGGATGTCTATCCAGTCAGGGCTTTCCCACGCCCCAGTGGAGACCCAGGTCAGCTGCAGCTGGAAATCTGCTAATTATCTCCTCTGCTGTTGCTGCCTACCGAGCCCTGCCTGGCCAGCTGTGAGAGGCATCCCCAGACCACCTGAGCCTCCTTCTGGATCTAGGCTTGCAAGCCATGCCACGTGACCAGAGCAGCGTTCTGCCCCCAGATCATAAAATCCCAGGTTCTCCCCTCCTCCTCACCCCCCCCCCATCCCCAGAGCTGTCCCAGGGGGCCACAGCCCGAGGCACGGTTACTTACCCAAGTAGATGTCTCCGAAGGACCCACTGCCGATCTTCCGGCCCAGGCGGTACTTATTTCCCACACGCAGCTCCATGCTTCACCCTAGTTGTGGAAACAGAAACAGGTCAGAGATGGGACCTCGAGCGCCCGAGAGCCTGGACCCTTCCTTCCCCCTGCCAGAGGCTGGCATTCTCCCTCCCACTGTCTGGGAAGTGATCTATCCGGCTTCACTTTGCTCAAGGGCAGCCAAGTGGCCGGTAGCCCTCATGCCCACACACCTGGGCATGGCTGAGGCGGGTTTAGAACAAGCTTCACTCCGTCCAGAAAAGGTGGAATCAGAGCCAAGGCCCAGGGGAGAGAAAGCCAAGCGGACCATCCAACGTGAGCCTCCTCAGGGGGAGGCTGGTGACCATGGGCTAAAGCCCGAAAGGAACATCCAGGACAAAGAGGGAAGAGGGAAGAGCCAGGAGACCCAAGTCCTGCTTCAGCAGCGACTCTCCACCAACCCTAACAGGCTAAAGGCCAAAAGTCTCCAACGTGCTTTATCTCCATGCACTCTAGAGGCACCTGAATACCCCAGGGAGGTCCTGAACCCCAGAAATCTGTCAGAAGTAGGAGGAACAGGGTCCATGGAGCAGATCATCCTGAAAACTACCGTAGTCACCACCAAGATCCAACCTCCAGGGGTGGGAAGAAGAAAAAGGGACTACAAGCCTCCTGTGGGCACAGGGTACCCACCTCTATCATGCCCCTGGGATGCTAGGCTCACACAGGGTTAGGCTGGCCTGTTCAAGTAGGCCCCACATGAGAAGGTCTGATTCCCACTCAGAAAGGGAAGGCAAGGTCCCTCATAATGCCTCTAATGCCTCCCAGGCTCTATCTACCCAGGATGGAGAGGACCATTTCTAGGCCTCTGCACATGTCTCTTTGGGTGGATTCTCAGGCAAGCTTCCTTGAAGTCACTGGTCCCCACAAGGCTGATCTGAGTAGCATCCCTCCTTCCTGAGACACCTGGATGCCCCAAGCCCTAGATAACAAGGATTGGGTCACCATGGCAGGATCCCTCTGTACTAGCCTGGTAGAGGTCTGGGTACAGTTCCAGGCCAGCAAAAAAGAAGACTCCAAGACTGGAGGGCAGTTTGGGCTGCCGGGGGATGGGGAGGCAGGGAAGGGTAAACAATGAAATGGGAAAAACGGGTCTCTGAGACCTCTGCTTGTTTACAGATGAGCTAATGTGAACAAACAGGAGGGGACTCCTTTTGCAGATGGGACCCAAGCCTGGGGTGACCTTGCTGCCACCCAGCAGCAGCAAGTCAAAAGCAGAATTTCACCTAGGATCAAAAGGGGTCAGGTTAGCCCACCTGGTACCAGGCCTCCTACCCAGAACTTATTTCATTCTAGGCTTGAGAAGTAAAACCGGAAGGTGAGATGGTAGCTGTGCCGGCTTGCTCGGGGGCCTGCCCCTTCCCTGGGCCAAGCCTACCCCTAGCTGCCAGGCTTGGAAGAAAGCCGGGAGAGATTCACGAACTCTCCCTGAGCAGCCTAAGAGCCAAGAGGTCCAAGCCAGGAGAGACACCTCAGCCTAGTACTAGCTCCCAGAGAGCTACCACAGTCCTTTCACAAGGAAGTGGCTGCCACTGGGCGCCAGCCAAACTCTGGGCTCTTCATCTAGGGCCTCTGCCCACATGGCTGGCCTGGACTCAGCTGAGTTGCCCTGGTTGCCAACAGCAGTACTTACTGCACATCTGTGGAAAACCCACCAGCCTGGCACCACAGGTCCACACATGGTCCAGCTTCCTAAGTGCACACACACCCGCCCAGGGAAGACGGGAACAGAGGCTCACACTCGTGATCCCTATGGGAAAGGGGGGGGGGGAGTGCTGGGTGTGTACTCACAAACATCCCCCCCCCCACTCCCCGCCGGGTTTCCACCAACGCCAACTCAGAGACCACACATGGCAGCTGGGGAAGCCACAGGTTAGGAAAGGAACATAAATATACTGCATCCTATATTACATAAATACCCACGCCAGGTTATATAAATACCAGTGCCCTCTGTCTGGGTGTCTTACATAAATACACTGCACATGACCCCCCCAAGCCCCTCTTCTCTGCTCACAGCTGTATGCACAGAAAGGCGGCTACAAACCATCCACCATGCAGGACCCCACCAACGCCAGGGTCTCCCCACCCTGGAGACCCAGAGCCCTAGAGAGAGTCTAGCCTATCCCAGCCCTCCTCCACTTAAAAGCCCCCTACCCGAAAAAAAACAAAAAAGACTTCTTTGGGGGCTTCTTTAGGGAATCAGAGTAGCTTTCCAATTCTTCACTCCCTCTCCCCTATGGGAGGGACGGTGTGGGGGGGGGCGGTAAACAAAGTTTAAAAACAAAAGGGGTGGTCATGAGGAGTCAAGACTTCTCAGCTGGTTAGAAAAAAATTACAAAGTACAACCAGCCAGGCACATAGGTAGTCCCCCGCCCCCCCACCACCACCCACCTTCCCCCAGGGCCAAGACCCTGGTTAATGAATCAGTAAAATAAAAACTGAAGGAATACCCTCAACCTAGGAAAGGCTGGCTTCCCAAACACAAGTATTCATCGGAACTGTACCCCTTTCTCTCTCTCTCCAGAACCCCTTCCCAGGGGGAGGTTATGCCAAGGAAATATGTGGGAAAACTCTAGGCAAAGTAGGGGGAGGGGGCTGGCCTAAGTCGCAGCCCTGGCTCAGGCGCCCAGGCACCCAGCTTCGGAGGCTTGCAGCACAAGGCTGTCTCACACACCGCAATGAGAATCCAGGCGATAAATAATCCCCTCCCTTCTTCTCGCCACAAAGGAAAACAAAGCCGGTGGCCTGGGTGACCACGCACCCCATCACTTAGGACCCCCCGGGCGCCCCCACCCTACACGCAAACGGCCTCGCTGACCCGGCGCCTAGGGCGCAGAGGAGGGGCCGCGGCCGGCCCGGAACCCACGCGGCCCCCGGGACCCCGGCCAGGCCCCTGCCGCAGGTCCCCCACCGCCCCAGCCCGGGGCCGCCTCGGTGCAGCCGGCGGCCTGCAAAGCGCCCGTCCCCTCCCGCGTCCCCGGCCGCGCCTTTGTCCTCACGGGCGGCGCCCCCAGCCCAGCGCGGACGCGCGTGTCCGCCCCGCGCTCGCGCAAAAAGAAAACACAAAGAGGCGGAGGGAGCCCCGCTTCCCCGGCCCCCGATGCTCACCGCGCCGGGGCGGCCCGCCGGGGCGGATGCCAGAGGATTCGCGGGGCCGCGGGCGCGCCAGCCTCTCCCCGGCCCGCTGCGCTGCGCTCGGCCCGGCCGGGCTCAGGCTCCGCGCTTCGCCGCCGCCGCCGCCGCCGCCGCCTCCCGCCGCCCGCCCCCGCCGCCGGCTCGCGCGCTCCCGGCCCGCGCGCGCGTCCCCGCGGCTCCCATTGAGCCCCGGGCCCGCCCGCTGATGTCATCCCCCGCCCGCCGCCGCCGCCCCGGAGGATTTAAAGGGCCCGCAGCCCCCGGGAGCGCCGAGCTGACGCTGCCAGCCTGGATGAGGAGGACACACAAAACTCGGATTTCCTACACTCCGGCCGTCTTGCCCTATCTCCAGCCAAAGCTACGGGCTCCCGGGAGGACTGGCCAACACGCCTGGCGCGGCAAAAAGAGATTTGAGGCTCGATCGCCCGCCCGAAGGTTGTAGAGAACACGGGCCAGGCGCTTTGGGGATAGGGGTGGAGGGGCATGGAGAAGGGAGAGAGCCAAAGAAAACTTGGACAGACCCTTTTCTCCCTGCCGCTCAGCTCCAATGTGGCAGATCCCAAAGTATCTCACCCATTGAGTCCCCTGCCTCCACCAAGAACTCACACGTGAGTCGGGGGGCCCAGAGGTAGGTGCTCATTCAGCCATGTCATCCCCAAGACAAGGCCTGGGTTTCCTTAACAGCAGAGGAGGAAGAAGGACTCTCCCCTCCTCGGGTCACGGGAGAGTTAATGAAGGCTTCCCACCAGCTTCCAGCACAGCCATGAAAGGTCCCAGCACGAGGCTATTAAAATGATGATATTTACACTGGGTCATGCAAAGCTCCAAATGATGACACACCTACATTCTCTCACACACATACTGTGACTGTGGACACAGTACCTCTGATCACCTCATCCCATCCCGGAAGTCTCTGAAAGAGTCGCTTCGTAATAACTGCATCTTTTCCCCAAGGCTGAGGGACTTAATCAGATGCTCTCCAAATTGTTGGGAGCCCTACAGACCAGGTCCTTTCACAGGACGCAAAACTTGTGGCCCAAAGAGGGCAAGAGGTGTGCCCAGACCCACACAGCCCAGCAAGATGGCCATGTTCTTCTTCTTCTGGTGGTCCTGGGGAACGCTAACCAGAGAGCAGAAGAGTGAGGAGCTGCTTCAGAAGGCATCTGTGATGGTAAACTGGGCACTGGCTCTCTGTACCACCTTTGCCCAGGCATAGACCATCAGCCAGATGGTGGGTTAAGCTTGAGCCTACCTGGTGCTTCTTGGCTTGGTTTTTGTCAATTGATTCCCAATTGGCAGATTTTTGTATTACAGGCCCACATTCCTGACTTCTCTTGAAGCCTTGGCCACTCTGGGCACAACTGCTCAGCAGAGGCAGCTGGTCGGGGCAGCAGTCAGCCCCTGTGGTCAGAGCCCAGGCAGGTGGGGCCCTGGCAAGACTGAAGAGAACACAGCAGGTACCAATGTCCTCCTGTCTCCACCACCCCCAAACCTTCCAACCTGGGCCCAGCTTTCCAAATATGGGCCTGCTTGCTCTTCTTCAGCGCCAGGAGAGGCAGCTAGCTCCTTTAACCCTCCCCAGTGAAGACAACAGGCATTCATTCCAGGGTTTCCAGAAAGGGAACTGGAGGCTCCTTAGCACTCACTCAGCAGCACAGGTCAGCCTGTCTGGAGACTGGAAACCATCCAGCTCTTCCTAAAGCCTCTCTGCCCCCATCCCCCCCTTTCCTGGACATGGCATGCCCTTTGGAACAAGACTTGTGTCTGCAGTTCACTGTCCCAGCTTCCTCTCTTCATCCTGTCACCTGCCCTCCTCCATTCCAGGCAGGACTTGTAGCCTCTCCCTGGCCCCCACCCTCCCACTATGGAACCTCTGGTAGGTGTCCAGGGGAAGCTGGTCTTAGGGCCCCTAGCTCCAACACACACACATCAGACCTGCTGTGGGGTACAGGGTGGCTGGGCCCCCTAGATTCTTTCCCAGATCTGCCACGCTTGGAAGGATGCTCCCCACACAGTTGCCTGTGGCCTGATCCTCTTCCTTCCTACACCCCCATAAGTCCAAGCTGTGAGTCCTCCACACAGATCTGCAGCTGAGCTCTAAGGGGAGACAGCCGTGACGCAAAACCCAGCCGAGGAGAGGAAGGAAGGCAGGAGACTGCTCCCAAACAAAAATCCTGCCTAATGCCAGCAGCAAGGGCCCGCCTCAGTCTACTCTGCTTTACCTCTCTCTCAAAGGTCCCCCCTCTTCAGCTTCCAGCTTTCAAGCCCACAGGTATAGCCTGATGGCATCCCCTAGCCACCCTCCATTCACCCACAAGATGCAGGCAGGCGGCCCCCAGCTCGCCAGGGGCCACACCAGCTTTTCACAGTTTTGTGTTGTCAGGGGTGACAGCTCTCCCTGCTCCTTTCCACACTGGACATTGCGCTGTTTCTTAATTCCACACTCCTCAGGACCACTGGGCACTCCTGAGCACTGGGCCCGGGGCTTAGGAATAGCCCTGGACATGCAGCACAGTGTAGATGAGACCAGGACCTCGCAGAGAAGCTGGCTTCTTGACTGTGGACATTCTGGCTTACCAAGTGTTCGGGACAGTCCTAAAAATGACCTTCCCCTGCATGTCCCGCCTGCAGCATTCTTAATTTTGGTCCCTCTGTTGTGAGTCACTGTCCTGGCCCTGGCCACTCAACTGCCTGGCACACTTTCCTGAAAGCCATACACTTACCCATGCACTTCCCTGGGGCTCCTTGCTCAGTCCTTTCAAGAAAGGACTTCCCTGTCTCCTGATTTAAAATTCTATTGCTGGCTTGGCAAGGTGGCTTATTGAGTCAAGTGCTTGCCCCACAGAAAGCCTGAGGACTCCAAGTCTGAGCCTCAGAACCCATGTTAAGATAGGAGAGAACGGATTATATAGGGTTGTCCTCTGACCTCCACACGGACTCTGTGGTGTGTATGTACCCCCATGCACATATCATCGAACAAAATTTAAAATCAATTGTATAAAACTCCATCCTGAGCCGGGCAGTGGTGGCGCACACCTTTAACCCCAGCACTTGGGAGGCAGAGGCGGGTGGATCTCCGAGTTCAAGGCCAGCCTGGTCTACAGAGTGAGTTCCAGGACAGCCAGGGCTGTTACATAGAGAAACCCTGCCTTGAAAAACAAAATATAAAAAACAAAAAAAAACCAAAAAGACTGTGTGACTCCTTATCAATAAAAAAATATATATATTAAAAAAAATTCCATCCTGGACCCCAGACCCGGTGGGGTTGGCGTCTCTCCTGCACTCCACGGCCCACTGCCACTCAGCACCCAGTAACATGGGTGCTGCCTCTGTGTTGTTCATCTCCGTCTCCCACTTAGAGGACTAAGGTCCATGAAAGCAGGGAGTTGGCGCTATTTCGGGTCCTGCTGTGTCGTGAATATCTATAATGGTGTCTGGCACCTGGGAGGCATTTGAC